ATGATTTCCATTGTAGAAAACCAACACCAAGAAATAAGCTATTATAATAATAATATAAATAAAGTGAGAAATACACATTGACTTTATCACATAAACATATTTATTAAGAAGAGGCCAAGCATTTGAAGCAAAGTGGAAAGTATCATAGTGGAAGATTTGAGGGAAGAAAATGGAAATGGAAAATGTAATTAAATTATGTTATAATCTCAGAAATAAAGTATATAACTAATGCATTCCAATAAAAAATGACAAAACTGCCGGGCGTTGGTGGCGCACGCCTTTAATCCCAGCACTCGGGAGGCAGAGGCAGGTGGATCTCTGTGAGTTCGAGGCCTGTCTCGAAAAACAAAAAAAAAAAAAAAAAAAGAAAGGCACAAAACTTAAAACTTAGGAACCGATTGATCCTGGCATCTTCCAATTAATATTTTCAGACCACAGTTAACTGTACGCAACTAAAACTGAAGAAAGCAAAACCAAAGACCAGAGAAGTGCTGCCCACGTAGTCCAGTCTGTCTCCTCCCCCTGCCCAGAGCTGAAATCAGTAGGACGGCTTCTCTCGGGGAGCCAGCTCCTGGTGTAGGAGCCGAGCCTCTCCTGTACACTACAGCACAGATGCTCTGTCTGTAACGTGGGGAAGGAAATGTGGCGGACTTCGTCCTTAACAATACCCACCTGCTTCCATTGTGCGAAATCACATTCAAACGGCACACGAGTCGCCTTTTATTCTTAATAAACGGAAACCAAGTGCACCGAGGCCCACACTATTGGAAGGGCCCAAAAGATGATTTCACAGGCCATTTCCTTTACCTAGGCCCTTTTCCTAAAGGACTGGAGAGTGAACAGGCAATCCAGAGAACCCAATTTTAGTCTTCTGGGAAGTATTTTACTCGTATAAAATCTAGCAAGATAGAGAAAATGCAAGTACTCAGATGGATCAACGATCAGTACAGCTAAGAAAATGTAAGCCACTTCTTTGGGTTGCTTTTTGGTTCTGTTGTGTTTTTGTGGGCGCACATTTTTGAAGCAGGGTCTCATTCCGTAGCTCAAGCTGGCCTCACGCCATCTTCCTTTCTCAGCCTCCGAAGCAGTTGGGATTACAGTGTGTAGCAGCCAGCTGTGACTGCTTAATTCTTGATGTAAAGAGAGAAAAGGCAAGGGGCAGTCACTGCTACCACAGGTGACAAGGAGTGGCCCGGCCTTGGCATTCCTAGACTGTACACAGACCCCTCCTCCTCAGTCCTGGTTGTGTTTATCTGGTGAAGAAGGGTTCCTAGGAAGGTTCATCAGCTCCTCGATTCTCTGAACATCTTCCTCAGGGCGAACCTTCTCTAGACCACTTTCTATCTCCTCAGGGAGGAGCTCGGTGACTTGCAGTTTTCTTTTCCTACAATCAAAGCATAAACACGTATCAAGCTCTGCTCCGGCACTTGTCCTTAGAGACGTCAAACGAAAGGGCAACATCTGTCACTGCCTCCCTGCGTTGCTATGACGACTTAGGAGCTGCACTCGTACCGCAAAGCCTTCCTCCTCTCTCCCGCCCTGCTCCACTTTCAGCCTAACCACGATTTCCACAGCACCGAAACGGACACGCTGCGCCCTGCACTTCTCCCCAGTGAGGAGTGGGGGCACACGCACCCTGCGCTGACTGGGCCATCCTCCTCCCCTTCGGACGCGGGCTGTGAGCCCGCCACTCTGCTCTCCCCAGATCTCGTCTCCCCTCATCAAGACTGCGCACTGATGGTCTAGGTGACGTCAAATAGGCAACCACAGAAAACAGCCCCTGGGTCATATGTGGGCTGTGCTAGGAAGTCAGAGCAGCAGTCTTTCCACAGTCCTTACCACTCTTCCAGTTTCTGCTCACGGGAAGCCTTTTGGTCCTTCTGTCTCCTCTCCTGAACGGTCTCATCACAGTACTTCTGAAGTGCCATCAGCAGGCCTCCCATAGGCGTGCTAAGAGGAAAACAGAATTCAAGGAGAAAGTCATTAGCCGCCGACACACAAGTATCCCTGCTCATCAACAGCAGAGCGCTTGCTCGCTGTCAGATACGGAAGCATCTGACCATTTAAACATCTCTTTCAAACAGATCAAAACACTGTGGTCATTTTCCTCCTAGGCCGAACAACAAAGAAAAACATTCACTGTAGCTTCCTTGACTGGTAGAAAACAGTAATAAATATAGAAATGGGTTCTTTAAAAAAAAATAAAATCACGAATAAGAAATAAACCAAGACAAAGGGGGAAATACATATTTATGACCAGTTCAATTAAGCTGCTCCAAACTGGAGGCTTCTCGGAAAGAAATGACTAGTTCATTCAGGATGGGACAAGACATGGGGTGGGGATGGTTTGCTGGGAGGGAGATGCTACTGGCTTTGAAGGACAGAGCCATCAAAACATCTTCTATTCTAGAGTCTGCTAAGACTGGCAGCTGCTACATCACCAGTTATACATTTAAAGATACAATGCTGGAGAGATGGTGTTGTACTAAGAGGACTTGCTGCTCTTGCAGAGGACCTAGATTTGATTCACACTGCCTGTGACTCTGACTCCAAGGAGCCTGATGCCTTGTTTTGGCCTCTGAGGGAAGTAGGCATGAACTTAATGCACATAAATACATGCAGGCGCTCATATGTACACATAAAATAAAAATAAACGAGTCTTTTAAAAAGTCAAATAAAAAGAAACTTCTTTAGGGGCTGATAAAATGCTCACCATGCATGCATAAAGACTTGAGTTTGTATCCCCAGCACCCAAGCAGGAAGTCAGGTGTGGACTTGCTCCTACGCTGTCTAGCCAATCCGTGAGCCCCAGGTTCGGTGAGTGAGCCCATCTTAAAAAAGTGGATGGGGCTGAGGATGTAGCTTAGTGGTAAAACACTTACTATCATGTGCAAGGCCCTAGGTCTGAACTCCAGTACCACAAAAAAATACAATAATAAGGTGGAAAGTGACTGAGGAAGACATCCAACACTATTTCTGGCCTCCACACCCATGAACACAAATGCACATGTATACAAAAGCACATTATATGCACAAAAGAAACTGATTTAGGTAATTATCATAGGGACAAACAGAATTTTCTTTCCTGTGTCCTCAAGCAAAAAGTTTTGACTTTGATATAAGTCAAATTCTTTCTGGTTGGAACTTTAATAATCTCATTTAAAGATTTATTTTTTAATTTTTGCTAAGCAAAAGAAATCAAAAACTACATCAGCAGAATGGATAATGTCACACACACACACACACACACACACACACACACACACACACACACACACACACGGAGAGAGGAAATTATGCATCATTAAAAGGGAAACCATTACATGCTACAACATACGTAAGTCTCAAGCATGTCATGCTGGGTGAGCTAAGGCAGTGACAGAAGGACAAAATGCTGTGACTCCCTCATTCAAATACTACATGGTTCCAGTGCGCACGTCAACAGGACAGAAAATGCAAAGTGGAAGGAAGGTTGCCACCAGCTGGGTGGAGTGGGAGGGAGAATTATAGTGTAATAAATACTGAGTTTCGGGTGTAAGACAAAGCCATTTTGGAGGTGCTGAACAACAATATTTATATGCTTAACACTACTAAACTGCACACTTAAAAATGGCTAAAATGGGGGAAAGACAATAGGAGAGGAAGACCATCAAGAACAAAGTATTATGAAAATGTCATGTGTCACTATACACTAACTTTAAAAGTTAGTAAAACGGTCAATTGATAAATGTTACTGATATAACCACAGCGAAAAATGCTTTTGCTGGGATGACCACCCAGCAGTTGACAGAGGGGTTACTAACTGCATACAGCCTGGGCTCTAGCGCCAGTGCTGCACAAAACCAGGAAAACCGAAAGCCCTGTGCTGCGGAGGTAGAGGAGGCAGGAGGAGAAGTTCTCTGTCAATCTTGGCTACATGAGCGTCTTAAGGCTAGCCTGAGCTGGTGACCCTACCTTGAAAACTGTTTTTCCCACTAGCTTCAACAATTTTCCCTTCAAACCAAACTGATATAGTAACACTACAAAAAAACAAAAACAAAAACAAAAAAACAACAACAAAAACAATGTTAGCAGTGGGTTTTGACAAACCAAAATTATTAAACTGAAAAAAAAAATTGCAAAATAAAATGTAAATCTAGCCAGGCATGGTGACTCATGCCTATAACCTCAGCATTCAGAAAGTAGAAGATGATACAAGGTCAAGGCTAGCCTCGCCTTCAGAGCATCACAAACCTGTCACCCTTCTGAAAAAGAAAACCATAATCTACAGTGTTACCCAAAACTGAAAAAGTGGGGTGGGGGGGGGCAAGAGAGAGGGTAACTCATTCAGAAGAGTGTCAACTAACGAAAAGAGAAGGGTGGCCAGAACTTCCTTCCTGTAACCAAGGAGCAGATGTGAACAGATTGTCAAACCCACTATGGGAAAGACAGTGGGAAAGGACGGCAGGACGGTCACATGGTCTCACTCCACCTATCACCAGGAAAGAACTGCCATGGGGGACTGACTAGAGAGCAGTGTAACCGTGTGACAGGGTGAGGCCGGAAGATTCCCCAATCTGCTGCCTTATAATCCCTCCACTGCTGGAACATGGTCCAAGAATGGAGTCATGTAAGTGAGCACTTGTGAGAAAACTAAATAAATAAGTAAATAGATAGATAAATAGATAAACAAACAAACAAACAAATAAAGACAAAAGTCATGTGACCCCAGTTTCTTCAAAACACAAAACTATTCTTGAACTGTGTCTTCGTGCTCCTCCCAGGTACAGCAGGTAGGATTGAGTTTACTTTAGATTACTCACTATTGCACGCCACTATTATTCAACTGCCTCTCTGGAAAACCATGTTTTTGACACGTGTGGCTTGTCCTTGTGACTGCACACTTTACTCATGTGATTCCTCTTAACCCTCAGACTATAAATTGCTGATACTCTGAATAAAGTTAGCTATTGCATGAGACTTTAGTCTGCCTCATTTTTAGGCGCCATTCTCCCCAAGTCCCACCACCTCTAGAGTGGTAAACGCTCCACTGTAACCATGAAGAGACAGTACACCTGCGATTTTACCGTGCTGCATGGAAACATGGATTTTGGGGATTTGAATTAATCAGAAAAGAGATTATCTGGGTGAGCCCTTTAAAAGCTGTTTCCTCTGGCTGCACAGAAGCAGAAGACCCAAAGTGTGAGGAGAAGTATTGCTATTCTAAACATGGATGCGCTTATGAGAAAGATGTGGGTAGTCTCTAGGAACAGAAAGGGAGTGTCCGGCTTCCAGTGAGGAAATACACACAGACCTATACAGTTTGACTCAGACCTATACAGTACATACCAGAGAGTGGTATAGTATATCACGTAATAGTTTTAGTTTTGTTGTTTATTTTGGGTTTGGTTTACTGCTTTTTTTTTTTTTTTGAGACAAGTGCTCATGTAGCCCAAGCTGGCTATGTAGCCAAGGATGACCTTGAACTCCAGTCTTTATATCCTTAGTGCTGGAACTACAGGTGTGTGCCACCATACAAAGCCCTCCTTTTACTTTTTGGAGGCATACTGACTCCACAGTGCCTGCAATTTTATCTGTACCACCTTACACTCCCGCCAACAGCATGTGGTTCCTTTCACCTCTATCCTTGCCAACAGACTAAAACTAACATATCAAATATTTAAAGTTAACATTATTGTAACGGGTATGTAATATGCCTCTTGATGTGATCTATACAAGGGCACAATTGTACTTACATAGCATCCCTGACAAAAACATTTAACCAAATCTAAACCAAGAATAATCAAAGCAAACTGAGACCCACTCTGGGTACTGCTGTGCTGGCTGGAGGGCTGTGAATACAGGCTTTCTTTCACAGATGAGCTGGACCACGTGTACCGTGGCACCTGTACTACGCGTTCACCCTAGCAGATGCATGCTGACACATCCAGGGGCAAGGTTTTATGAGGTCTCAAATGGTTTAACCAAAAAAAGGAAAGAAAGGAAGAATTAATGTATCTCATACATATACAGGAATATAAATAAAAAACATGGCAAATGTCAGCAATTGGTGAATCCAAGTAAAAGTCACATGAGGTCTTTGAGTTTTGTTGATTATGCATGCTGGGTAAATGCTCCGTCACTGAACTACATTCCCAGTCCTGATATGGGTCTTTACATAAGGTCTTTTTTTTTTCCCCCTGGGTTTTTCGAGACAGGGTTTTCTGTGTAGCCCTGGCTGTCTGGAACTTGCTGTATAGACCAGGCTGGCCTTGAACTCACAGAGATCCGCCTGCCTCTACCTCCTGAGTGCTGGGATTAAAGGTGTGCGCCACTGTGCCAGGCTTCGTAAGGTCTTAATATACTCATTAACCCAGCTTTTCTGTAGGTTTGAAAGTGTTCAAATTTTTAGCATTTTAGTTAGGGAAGAAAACTTCCAAATAAAATACGTATTCAGTTAAACAAAACAAATATAATTTTACAATATTACAAAACACACATCCTACACGAAAAATTTTCTGGTCATTTTTCTTGCTCCTTATGAATGTTTTTGTTCAAATTACAAGTAATTTCAGGTATTGGTGATATCGAAACATTTTACCCAGTGGAAAAGGAATTTTGAATATACTTCCTATTTAACTCTACTAAGCTGTTCTTTACTATTTTAATTATACACTAATAACTATAAATAAAACAAGTGGACAGTCAGAGCTGGGGATATGGCTCAGTGATAAAGAACATATTTTGTTCTTATAGAGGACCTGAGTTTTATTCCTAGCACCCATATCAGGCAGCTTACGACTGCCTGGAACTCCAGCTCCAAAGGATCCAGCATTCCTTGGGCACATACACAGACACACACATGGACACATAAATAATAAAAATACACATTTGCAATTTTTAAAAGCAGAGCATTTACTAGTATCTGGGTTCAATCTTCTCATACCCCCCAAATAAGGAACTGAACATCACATCATTATCAATACAGGACATACGTCCTTTAATGTCTCTGAGAACTAAATCTGTTCTTTATTTAGACCAAACCATGTTAACACTTACCCCAACAAAGCTCCAATTAGACCACCAGCCACCAGGCCTCGCATACCTAAGTTTACTCTGAAAAGACCTCCTGTGACAGCTATGTAAAAGAGGGGAAAAGGCAACATTAAATCATCTTTAAATGCTAGACTTCTATTCTTTTACAGTAAGAACAAAGACCTCTAAGTGAGCTTTCTGAACCCATCATGAACAGTGTAGTGACAGCCATGAAGGTAACTTTCTGTTCACTCCAGTCAAAAGAAGAAAATACTTTGTAAATATTTTAACATTTTAAATATCCTCAGCCTTACTGGGCAGTGGTAGCACATGGGAGGCAGAGGCAGGCAGATCTCTGAGTTTGAAGCCAGCCTGGTTTTCGGAGCAAGTTCTAGGACAGCCAGGGCTACACAGAGAAACCCTGTCTCAAAAATCAAAAACAAAAAACAAAACAAAACATAAAACCCCTCAGTCTCTCCTATGGCTCTCATACCATTCTACTTCATCTTTTTGCCCATTTCCTCTTCAACGTCGCCAGTTCATTTCACCTTCTCTCACATCTTTAGCCTCTTTCACATCTTTGAGGCAACTTTGTCCAAAATTAAGAGACAACAGCAACAACAACCCCTTCACTAGCCCCAGATTATTAGGCCTTCTCCCAGCCTCACCCATCTGTCTGCCTGCTATACTGTGCACTCAGGCGGACCTGCAGAGCAGCAGTTGGCATACAGTGCCCCCTGGTGATGAGACACAAGGGGTGCACCTCTTTCCACTAGAACTCCATTTCCTTTCTAAAAACATGTAACCCAGGATGTCTTCAAACGCTGTACGGGGCTGAGAATGACCTTGAACTTCTGGCCTCTACTTTCTGAGCGCGGACATTACAGCCTGCACTACACCTGGAGTCTATGGTGCTGAGGCACGAACTCAGGGCTGCATGCATGCTAAGCAAGCACTCGACCAGCTGTGCTGAATACATTCCAGCTAGGCCCCTTCACTCCGCACTTTACAACTAATGCCATCTTAGGTGCTAAACACTTGTAGGTGTTTAATCTGTTAATGTTTCTATTTAACTATTATATATTCATTTAACATTTTTTCTAAATTAACAAGAACAAAAACCACTTTTAATCTCATTACTCAGAAATAATACACAGTCTTCCAAACAATATATATATATATTTGGTTTTTCAAGACAGGGTTTCTCTGTGTAGCTTTGTGCCTTTCCTGGAACTCACTTGGTAGCCTAGGCTGGCCTCGAACTCACAGAGATCCACTTGGCTCTGCCTCCCGAGTGATGGGATTAAACGCGTGTGCCACCAACGCCCGGCTTCAAACAAAATATTTTTAAGAAACAAAATGAAGCTGTTATATATATTAAACTTTTAATTTTCTCTGAATATATTATTAAATTCCATTATCATTAAATTTTCAGTTTTCAATATTAAAGTTTCCCACAAGATTCTATTGCATGGACATACCACAAATTTTTATCTTAACACCAGTTTTCTATTTGTAAATATTTTAAATAAAGGCACTCCTGCACATGAATCTTTATCCATTTGATGGCTTCTTTAAGATGAACTCACAAAAATGAAATTTTGGGACGGGGGTATGAACATCTTTACTTTAAAGATAACTTTTATTTCAGAATGTGAGTTTGGGAAGGGTATGTATGGGCAGTACACCTGCTGTTAACTGCTGAGTCATCTCCAGGATCCAGGTGACATGGTTCTTCTAGACTGCCAACTTGACTAGATCTGGAATTAACTAAAACCCCAAAATTGAGGTGCACACCTGTGAGGGATTTTTGCTTAACTGGAAATAGGAAGATCCATTCTAATCCAGATCTTTGCAGTGGGAACACACACCTTTAACCCGGCCCTCACCTTCTGCTAGAGGCCTGTATAAGGACAGGAAGAAGGAAACCTCCTCTTTGCCTGCCTGCCTATGTCTGGCTAGCAAGTCCACTGACACTGGAGCCCACTTCTTTGAGATTCTGGCATATACCGAAGACCAGCTCAGACATCCAGCCTCATAGACTAACAACTATTGGATTCATGGCCCTTCTGTTCATAGGCAGCCATTGTTGGATTGGCTGGACCACAACAAATACCCTTTCTCTATATCTAGAAATATATTTGTTCTATAAGTTGTTACCCTAGAAGACACTGACTAATACACCAGAGTATGTACATTTGAACTTAAATTACTACACTGCTATTCAAAAAGGGTACACAAAGTTACTGCCAATTAAAAGTATGCAATTGTATGCTCCTTTTTTTTTTTTTTTTGAGTAAGGGGCAATGAGGATCTTGTACAGCACAAACTGGCCTGGAACTCACTATGTAGCCCAAGCTGGCCTCAAATTTGTGATCCTTGTGCCTCATTAAAGGTATATAACCACATATGGATCTTCTGCACTCTGAGTTGATGTTCCCCATTTTCATAGGCTTTAAAAATGGCAGCTAACATGGCTGGGTGGTGGTGGCGCACGCCTTTGATCCCAGCACTCGGGAGGCAGAGCCAGGCAGATCTCTGTGAGTTCAAGGCTAGTCTGGGCTACCAAGTGAGTTCCAGGAAAGGTGCAAAGCTACACAGAGAAACCCTGTCTTGAAAAACCAAAAAAATAAAAAATGGCAGCTAACTTAAATTACACTTCTCTAACTAGTAGAAAAAAGTATGTTGCCAGGCGGAAGTGGTGCCTTTAATCCCAGCACTCAGGAGACAGAGCCAGGTGGATCTCTGTAAATTCGAGGTCAGCCTGGTCTATAGAGCGAGATCCAGGACAGGTACCAAAACTACACAGAGAAATCCTATCTCAAAAAAACTACAAAAAAGAAAAAGAAAAAGAAAAAGGTGTGTTATTAGTCACCTGTGTTACTTATGTGAGTTAAGTCATGTTTTTGTTTATCTCCAATCAAGATATCTTTTCTTTCTGATACACAGAGCTTTTACTGAGTACTATCTGAACACCTTATTACTCAGGGATCATTTTACATTTAATGTCTTCTGTAGTATTTTTATGTCGGTCAAAGCTGTTCATAATTTCCTGTAACTTAATTTTTATGTTTTAAAACATATACATAAACAAACATATATGTATATTTACACATCTTCCTACTCAGAAAGCCAATACACATACAGCTATATTTATCCCTAACATTTCATCAATTTGTACTTAAGTGTTTTAATGAATCCTACATTTCATTCTATTAAATACTGTTGCAATTTGATTTCTTTCCACAAATTTAGTAACTGTCAGTCCTCTCTTCATGTATCTAATATATCATCATTAGTTTAGATAGACTGTACACTTAGTCTTTAGATCTGATTCTTTGAATTCTGTTCAACAGGTCTGCAAACAACCCCAGTATTCTATATATTGTAATTTTATGCATGTTTATTTTAGATGGAAAGATCCCCTAATTCTTTAGGTAAATCTTTTGCTAAGCTCATAGAATCTACATTTTAGACAGATATTATTAAGTTCTGTATTAAAACAAAAACAACTATAACTTTTATTTGATTGCTTTTCATTTAAAATTTAAGATGAGCAGGCCAGTTTGGTTTTCTGGTGTGTAGAGGCAGTGTTTGACAGCTCATCACAGGCTTTCCTATAGCACAGCCCCTCACAAAACCAGGCTGTCTGGAACCCCTGGCCATAGGACTGTTTACTTCACACCAAGAAGGCTGGGACGGCACCTACATCTGAACGCGGTGTGCACCAGACAGACTTCCAGGCTTCTGTGCTAAGGCCCATGGTCCTTATGAGCTTGTGCAAAGCAGAGGAGCGCATCAGCAGGGCCTGCGGTGGCTCCACGTGTGCTAAGTGTGTCCCCGACGTGTGCTAAGTGTGTCCCGACAGGGTCATGCAGGATCTCCTTACTGAGGAGCACAAACTTTGCTCTTTTTTCCCTTTTGGTTTTTCAAGACAGAGTTTCTCTGTGTAACCTTGGCTGTCCTAGAACGCACAGAGATCTGCATGCGTCTTCCTCAAAAGTGCTGAGATTAAAAATGGAGTCTTTTTAAGTCATAAAAGTCAAGGCTTGGTTAAAAAACAAAACAAACCAAGCCAGTTTAAGTATGAACTGCACAGGAGTGAATCTCTGTGGTTACTTTTCTTGGAGTTTGCTGAACTTCTCAGATGGACAGACTGACATGTTCAAATTTGGAAAGCTAGTGTTTCTTTCCCAGATACTTTCCCTGCCTCCTCTCTCTTTCCTCTCTATCTGGTATTTCCATCACACGCTAGTGCACTCAATGTATGTTCCTCACTCTTAAAATTCTGTCCTTCCGAAGAAATGATCTCTACTGATCTACTTTCAAGTTCATTCAACTCTGTTCCTTAAAAAATTTTTTGGGCTGGGTAGTGGTGGTGGTGCATGACTTTAATCCCAGCACTCGGGAGGTAGAGGCAGGAGGATCTTTGTGAGTTTGAGGCCATCCTGGACTATAGAGTGAGTTCCAGGACAGCCAGGGCTACACAGAGAAACCATGTCTCAAAAAAAGAAACAACAAAAGCAAAGACAATTTTTTTCATACATACTCTATAGCCCACACTGTACTCAAACTTGAGATACTCCTCCTGTCTTTGACTTCCAGTTGCTGAGATTACAGATGTGAGCCACCATGCCTGGCAATTCCTTCCTCTGCTATCTTAAACCTATGGTTCAGTTCTTCTCCAGTAAAAATTTAAAAGTATTTTTATATGTGTACAAATGCACATTTGTATGGTGATATTTTGTTTGTGCTTTAACAAATAAATCTTGCCTGGAGATCAGAGTGTGGAGCTAGCCACTAGTCAGCCATAGAGTCCAGGCAGTGGGGGCACACACCTTTAATCCCAGTAATTGGGAGGCAGAGGCAGACAGATCTCTGTGAGTTCAAGGCCATCCTGGGCTACACAAGATTGATCCAGTCTAATAAAGAAACAGAGCCAGGCAGTGGTGGCACACACCTTTGATCCCAGCCCTTGGGATCTCACGCCTTTAATCTCAGCACTAGTGAGGTGGAGACAGGAAGTGATATGGCTGGGCGGAGAGAGGAATATAAGGGGGAGGAGACAGGAGCTCAGCTCCTTTTCAGGATGAAGATTCAGTAGAGACCAATTAGGATTTGTGTTACACGTGTGTGTGCGCGCGTGTGTGTGTGTGTGTGTGTGTGTGTGTGTGTGTGTGTGTGTGTGCGCGCGTCCATTTCTGAGCATATGTACTGTGCACAGCATGTATGCAAAGTTCAAAGGACAACTTCAGGCATGGGTCCTCACTCTCCATTTAATTGAGACAAGGGTCTCTTTGTTGTCTTTCCACTCCTTACAGCAGGCTGGCTGGGCCCTAAAGCGTCTAAGGATTTTCTGTATCCCATCTCACAATAGGAGTGTTGGAATTACAGATACTTGTGCTGTGTATCTGGCTCTTACATCAGTTCTGAGGATTTGAACTCAGTCCCTTACACTAACACATAAGTGGTTTACCCACTGAGTCCCATCCCTAGCCATCCAGTGAATTCTTAATCTCCATTACTGTGTTACCAACACCAGCTATTTTGGTTTACTTACTTTAACATCTTCTATCTTTATCATTGCATTTTGATTTGGCATTTTCTGAGTTCTTTTGTCAGCTCTTCCCAACATAGTTTCCTTCTCCCTGTTGGGAATTTCCACCCCACCCCACATTTTCCTGTGTCTTATTGCTATTACTGTTGAATATCAACTTTTTCTCTTTTTGAGACAAAGGCTCATGTGGCTCAGGCTAGCCTCAAACTCTCTACATAGACAGGAATGAGCCTGAGTTTCTGATCTTCCTATCTCCATCTCCCAATGCTGGAATTACGGGCATGTGCTATGACTTCCAGCTCAAAAATGGACTCATAAAGCAATATATTGAACCGTGTCCCTCACATGGCTGAGGTTCTGCATTAGGTAGTGATTTGCCTAGATCAAATCTATGTCTTTTCCCAAAGAACACAGACACTGATATCTGCCTTCCTGGGAAGAGTCAGCCAACAATTCCTCCTAAGTTTTAGTTAAAGCTTCTACCCTTGGCCAACAAACCTGTCTGTGGCTTAGAAAATGCATTTAAACTTCAGTTTACATTATCTTTTCTAGCTTTTACTTTCTGTGTCCACAAGAACTCACATAAACCAAAGAAAAACAACTTGCGAGGGCCCACACACAGATCCCCATTATTGCTCTCTCTATAGGGTGATATTTTATTTGTGCTGAAATGTGATTTTATTTGTATGTTAATAAATAAAAGTGCTTGGGGGTCAGAGCTAATAGCAAGCCATAGCAGAAGTCTGGCAGTGGTAGCACATGCCCTTAATCCCGATCACATGACAGGCGGATCTCTGTGTGTTCAAGGATATAGCCAGAATGGAGACACACGCCTTTAATCTCAATACCAAACATGGAAGACCTGGAGGTCTGTATAGACAGGCAGTGACAAGGAGGTCATGTGGTTGGGTTTACAACCAATGAGAAGACAGAACAGAAAGTCAATAAAAAGACAGACACACAGGAAGTAGGCCTCTTTCTGAGGGGAAGGATGGCAGCAGCAGTGGGTGGTAAGAAGGCAGTTTCAGTTCTTAGCTACTGCTCTCTGGCCTCTGGGGCTTTTAACTCTGCATTTGGCTCTGTGTTTCTTATTTAATAAAAGCATTTAGAATTTCATCCATATCTCTATTTGTTTCTGTTTTTATTTTTTTAACATACAGAGTCTTCACATGCTGCTTGGGTTGGCCTTGAACTCGTGGGCTCAAATGATTCTCCTATCTCGGCCTCTCAAGCAGCTACCTCTGGTTTTATTGTCTCCTCAAGAGCTCCATTGAAATCCAGCCCTGGTTTGCTAGTCTATGGCTCGCCCCAAATGAATCAAAACCTTAGGCTAGCTGTGTTAGAAGTCCATGACTGTAACTGCTTTAAACAAGATATGGAATTTCCTGTGCTCTCTTCCCGAGTGTTCAAAGTGCAGGGATGACAGGCATCTGTCACCATACATGGCTCCTATGCTCTATTTTAATGCTTGTTTTAAATGGTGTGTCACCGCTAGAGGAAAAGAGCTTTAAATAAACCAAACTCTCACCCTGAGAAAATCTGTCCTTCCTCCTTCACATCCCAGTCTCACCCGAGCTGTTTTCCTTCCTTGTGTTTGGAACACCGCCCTGCTTCTGCAGAACATCTCTAGAGCTCTCCTCTCGATGCTCCTGTGAGCCCACCATCCTGCACAGTTTTCTCCTTCCTGTCTGCAGGTGTCAGCTTAAGTGACCTGAAAGGCCTTCAACAACCCTGTCCACGTCAGATCCATGTTCCACCTATTTGCAACTTTCTGTCATAGGAGCTGGGTTTTTGTTTTGTTTTGTTTTTTCCATCCTCATGGGTAAAATCTAATGAAAGCAACGATCTTATCTGCTTTAATAACCTACCGAGGGTCAACTATGAGTTATTTGTAAGCATATTATATATGAATATCAAAAAGGATATAGTGTGAAACCAATCAAAAAAATCCCACAGTTCTGACTCATAAATCCTATATATTTAAGCCATACTTGAAATTAAAATGTGAACAAGAATAAAACATCTTACCTCCAGCAATGACAAAATGGCTCAAAGAATTTTTATTTCGATACACAGTTAGTCCAGTGTTCACTGTGCTGGGAAGAAGGGAGGAAAAAGAAAACATTCATTCAAAGTATATGCCATTCACCTTCCTGACTGCTTGCCTATCATGCACAAAGTCTGGGTTCAACCCCTGTACCACATCAGACTAGGCATCGTAGCTCATGTCTCTAATCCCAGCATTTGGGAACTGGAGGCAGGAGGATCAGAAATCTAAACTCATCCTCAGCTACACATCAAGTTCAAAGCCAGACTGGGCCATATTAGAATCTACCTTAAGAAAACAAAAACAAAACCCAGAAACAACAACAAAAGTCCTGTATTTTAAAGCCTTGTTCTATTCTAGGACCTTCAGTGTGTTCTAGATTAATATGCCTATGGGTTTTTAGGTAAACCTGGTGAAGAATGAAACAATAAAACCAAATTCCTAGAATAAATATTCATTCAGAAACAGCAACTTAGAAAAAAGGGCTCCACAGAATTTTCCTTTCTTCAAAACTTTACTTCCATTCTGGGCATGGTGGCACACTGTAATCCCAGGACGTGCGAGGGTAAGATTTCAAGTTTGAGGGCAGCCTGGGCTACATAGTGAGTTTAAGTTCAGCCTGAGCTACATAACAAGATATCCATCTCAAAAAATGAAAGGAAAAAAGAATCCTTATATCTGTTTTGACCCTAGCTGTAGAGCTCTATCATGGATACAGAACTAATACTGAACCATTTTCCTATGTACATACAAGTTATTAAGAAAAAGGCTTTCTGGGGTCAGTGGCACGGCTGTGTTGAGGGCACCGCTGCCAAGGCCTGACCCATGCTCAGTCCCCAGGACTGACATGGAGAAAGGGGAACTGACTCCTCCAAGTTGTTCTCAGACTGCCACATGCACACTATGGCACAGGTGTTCACACACAGAAATGGACACACACATACATATGAAAGAATTTTTCAAAGAAAAGGCACAATGTAGATGTAACTGTCTTATTAAATAAGAAACATAGAACCAATGCAAAGAAGAAAGCCAAGAGGTCAGAGCTAAGAGCTAAAACCTTTCCCTTCCTCCTGCGGTGGTCCTTCCTCTCCGAACCAGAGCTACTTTCTGTGTGTCTGTCTTTTTATAGTGTTTCTGTTCTGCCTTCTCATTGGTTGTAAACCCAATCACATGACCACCTCATCACGGTCTGTCTGTATAGACCTCCAGATTTTCCATGATTGGTACTGAGATTAAAGGCATGTGTATCCAATGCTGTATCCCTGAACACACAGAGACTTACCTAGCTCTGCCTACCAAGTGCTGGGATTACAAGTGTACGCCACCACTGCCCTGCTTTCCTATGGCTTGCTAATAGCTCTGACCCCCCGGGGAACTTTATTTATTAACATACAAATAACATTTGAATACAAATAAAATATCACCATAGCACTATGAATATTTTCATGTCAGTGTTCAGTTTCATAACACCACTTGTTCAAAGGATGCACTCCTGTGATGGTGGCACACTTCTGTAATTCCAGAGAATCACACGTTTGAAGACAGCCTACACTGCGTTCTAGGTCGGCCTGAGATAGAGCAAGACACTGCCCTCCCCGACAAAAGATAAAGATGCTCTTGCACAGCTGAGAACTTACTTGAATATAGTCACAAACACTGCAGTTCTCCAGCTCCATCGCCAGCCATACCGAATGAAACCCCTCGTGGCAGCTCGGTGTGCATTTTGCTAAAAATAATTTGTTAAAATGCTGTGAGGTTCCAAGATACTTTGACATTTTCGTTATTCTAAAACTGTACTGCAGAAATGACAGCTGCAAGTTACTCAGGTTTACCTAAACAGAAACATAGAAAAAAAATCTCTAGAACTATCATTAAGTACTAACACTTGAGCAAAAGACTCGGGAGTCAGAGAGAAAAGGACTAAGAAGCTGTTGGCTCCCACCTGCTTGAGAGACAGCCCTACCTTCTCACACACTGCCAGCTACATCCCTGACACATGACGGTGAGCACTGGAAGGGACTATCTGGCTGCACTGGCACCTGGTTACCAGAGCTACTTTTAACTCTGAGAAGCGGGTACTGTCACCATCAATGACCATTCACTGACGTCAACTACATGGTTTACATGCTCCAGTATGACTCCATTCACGGCAAGTTCCACAGCACAGTCATGGCTCAGAGTGAGAAGATACTCGTCATCAAAGGGAAGGCCATCTCCATGTTCCAGGAGTGAGATGCCTTCAGTATCACATGAGGCGATGCTGGTAACAAATACACTGTAGAGTCTACTGGTGTATTCACTACTACAGAGAAGGCCAGGGCCCACTTGAAGGGTGGAGCCATACATACTGTTACTCTCTCTGCCCCTTCTGATGATCCCATGCGGTGGTAGATGTGAACCACACAAGTGTAACAACTCACTCAAGGTCATGAGCAGTGCCTCCTGTACCACTGACTGCTTACCCTACCCTCACCCTGGGCCAAGGTCATCCATGACAACTTCAGCATCATGGAAGGACTTCAATCAGTTTCTTCTATTACTGCCTCCCAGATGACCATGGGTAGCTCCTTTGGGAAACTACAGCATGATGGCTGTGGGGCGGCTCTGCAGCTACTGGTGTTGCCATGGTTGTGAGCAAGGTTGTATCAGAGCGCAGGGGAGCTTACTGACATGGCCTTCCAGGTTCCTACCCTCAGTAAGTCCAGCATGCATCTCATCTGCTGCCTGAAGAAAGCGGCCAAGTAAAATGGCATCAAGAAGTTAAATCGTTAAAAATAGATATCAGAAGCCACCCTAGAGGGCACACAGAGCTGTATCAAATGCCAGGTTATCTCCTGCATCTTTAACAGTGATACCGACTCTTCCACCTTAGAGGCTGAGGTCAGTGCCCTCAATGACCACTTTGTCAAGCTCATTTTCTGATATGACAACCAATTCAGCTAGGCAACAGAGTGGTGGATCTGGCCCACCTGGCCTTCAAGGAGTATGAAGCCCCGGGAGTACCTATCCCAGCAAGAACACAAGAGGAAGAAGATGACCCTTGGCTTCTGGGCCCCAACTCATCTCCTAATGCACTGAGCATCTCCCCTCAGTTTCCATCCCAGACCCCCAAAAGAAGTGGAGGGGCTTAGGGAATCCTACTAGTACCCTCAGTAAAGCTCACTGTTGGGCTGGAGAGATGGCTCAGCAATTGAGAACACTTGCCGCTCTTCCAGAGGACCTGGGTTCAGTTCCCAGAACCCACATGGTGGCTCACAACCATCCATAACTCCAGTTCCAGGAGATCCAACACCCTCTTCTGACTTCTGCAGACAGCAGGTATGCCCATGGTACACACGCATGCATGCATGCAGGCAAAACGCTCATACACATTTTAAAAAATAACCCTCACCTAAAAAAGAAAAAAGAAAAGAAAAAAAGAAAGGCTCAAGAAGCTCTAGCTCCAGCCAGGCACAGTGGCATACAGCCTGGTCTACAGAGGGAGTTCCAGGACAGCAGAGCTACATAGGAAGACTCTACCTCAGGAAGAAAAAAAAAAAAGTGCGCAGGGCGGTGGTGGCGCTCTCCTTTAATCCCAGCACTCGGGAAGCAGAGGCAGGCGGATCTCTGTGAGTTCGAGGCCAGCCTGGTCTACAGAGTGAGTTCCAGGACAGCTAGGACTGTTTCACAGGAAACCCTGTCTTGAAAGACAACACAACACAAAACAAAGAAGTGCTAGCTTCAACCAACCAGCCTGTCAGTTGAGCAGCAAACACAGCGACAGTTATAAAACTGAAACAGCAATGCTTCTTACATTCAAGAGAAATGTGTGAAAAGGGGAAAAAATATGCTGAAGAAATGCTCAATTAAAAGCAAGGATTAAAACAACATAGATATGGGAGGGAGAAGGAAAAAATTTTACTGATAATCCTTTATGCAAAAAAAAAAAAAAGCTGCTGGCTCAGCCAAAAGGAGCTAGTCACTAAAGCCTGACAACCCAAGTCTGAGCCATGGGACCCTCAGGAAAAGTGCTCAGCCTAAAGGAGCCAGTCACTAAAGCCTGACAACCCAAGTCTGAGCCGTGGGACCCTCGGGAAAAGCTGGATGCAGTGGCCCGCACTGAACTGAAGCGAGACTACAGCGAGATGGGAGGAAACAGGAGAATCACCTAGAAAGTGGACGGCCTGCTAGCCTAGAGTACACGGAGGAGCAGAAGAAACAAATGTGACCTTGCCTCTTCAAGGTAGAGGTGACTCCCAACACTGTCCTCCCAACAGTCCACACACATACACAGACAAAAACTGAAAACATAATAAAAAACAGTTTACATATTACTTCATTTACATTCTCCCCAGGAAAGTGCTTTACTTCTAACTAGAGCTTCAGTGGGAAGTTTACCACCCCTATCTTTCGGTGGGAAGGAATAACTTTAGAACAGAAGGGCATGCTGTCTGTCTCCACAGCACGTTTTCATCTATTAGCCTATCATACACCAGGTCTGCTATAACATGAGGTAAAATTTGTATTTGTCAGGACGATAAGAAAATACACCTGATGATCCTAACTCCTATATGATCTCGGGCAAGGCAAAATTTCTCTAAGAAGTATCAGTAAGTATCACTACAGGGGCTAGGAGAGCTGGAGAGGTGGCTCAGCTGCTAAGACCACCTGCTGCTCTTACAGAGGACCTCAGTTTGGTTCCCAGCACCCTTGCAGGGCAGCTCACAACTCTATAACTTCAGCTCAGGGGACCTCATGCTTTCCCCTGGCCTCTGCAGGCACCTATACTTACATGGTGCACACACATGCACATGCACCACACACACACACACACACACACACACACACACACACACACACACACAAATTAAAAAATAAAACAAGTCTTTAAAGAAAGTATCAGTATGAACTTATACTTTCAAAAGATAGGTAGCAATACTGACCGAGAGGTGTCTGAATGCACATACAGAGTATGATCTCTCTCTCTCTCTCTCTCTCTCTCTCTCTCTCTCTCTCTCT